CAATAAAAATGAAATATGTAAATACATGAATGTGTTCTTGGTCCATTTTGACTACTAAAATAAAATGCCTCAGAGTAGGTGATTTTAGATACCACAGAAATGTATTGCGTAGAGTTTGGAAAGTCCAAGACCAAGGCACCAGCACTTGAGTCTGTTAAAACTGCTTCTAGGAGGGGATGTCTTTGTGTCCTCAAGGGCCCAAGGGCACTGCCTCTTCATACCATCTCTGTTGAGCATATTATTCAATATTTAATATTAAGGGTTCCACAGATATTCAGACCACAGCAAGTGCTTAGAAGATTATATATGATTTCTTATATTAATAATAAAATTATTATCTTAGTCCACACAAGTAATTTAACAACTACTTGTTTAACCTACTATATTGTTTAGCAGGGTCTCTCACTGGTCCTGGTATTTGCTGATTCAGCTAGACTAACTAGCCAGTGAGTCCCAGGGATCCTCCTGACTCCACTTTCCCAGCACTGGGACTAAAGGTATGTGCTACAGCAGGCCTTTTTCATGTGGGTACTGGGATTCAAATTCATGTTCTCATGTTCATGCAGCAACCACTTCACCAATTGGGCTATCTTCCTAGCACTCATAAAACATGAGTTTGTTTTCCATTAACTAATTTTGAAAAAATATTATGTTTTATGAATGCAAGTCCTGGATTATGCCTCTATAGATTTAAAGTGCTCATTATAAGATTTTCTTGGAGTATTGTCATCCAGGTTCTTGATTCAGTTTGTGGATTCAAGGCAGTGACTTTCTTCTCTGGTAATAGACTCCTGTGAACCACTGGTGACTGGGTGGTTGTCCATGGATGTGCATCCTTGTGTTCAAAGCTCTCATTTGCTTAAGGGTGGTATCATTCTGATTGTTTGCTCTGCTGAGTGTGATAGGCAGAGAACTGTACAGGGCTTGGGATACACAGGCAGTTTGGGGGTGGGTTTCTGTGTTCCTATTTCTTCCAATACTGGGGACCAGCACCTGGGTACTAGCTTCTGTCATGAGTCCTAGCATATATGCTTAGCACCAAAGCCGAGGGAGGGTTGTGTGTTGCTGAGTCTCCAACAATCACTGTATTTCTAAACTAATATTGTTGACCGCCCACAAGCTTGTTTGTCTCTGTGAGGTGAGGGCTTTGTGTGAACCCGGCTCTTTGGGGCCTCCTACTGCTTTTACATAGATTATCTACATAGAATGAATCAATGAATTAATGTTGCCCCTTGGTTACTCACCACAATAATCATGCCTGCTCACGTAGCCTCAGCCTGCCCAGATCTCACCCAGTTTGCTGTTCCCCAGCCATCCAGTCTTGCTGACTTAGGCCATCTAGACAATGCTCTGAATAAGTGGCCAGTTGATGTTGCTTGTTTTAGAATCTTAATGCATGTTTAAAAATATTTTTCTGAGCTAGACATAGCGGCTCAGCACTTTTGAGGATCAAGAGTTCAAGGTCATCTTCAGCTGTGTAGTGAGTTAGGAGCAAGCCTGGGCTACACTTGCAACCTACACATGTTATTTATGATTTCTACATTGTGATTTGAGTTAGCGTATAGATTTGTTATTAAACATGGAACATAATAGGGAGAAGATGCCCTCCTTTGGCTTCTCTCGTTTGGAAATACTTTTAAGATACAAGAATATTTCAAATACGTAAACATACTAAGAACAATATAATGAATGTCCATAACTAGTAACCCATATTTAACAATTCCAAACATCTAACAATATTTGCTTCAGCTTTCACAAACAAAGCAAACCCTGTAGCTATCACCATGCTTCCTTGTCTCCCACCATTTCCTCTTCTTCCTCCTCTCTGGCCAGTTGGCTTGTGCCCTTCCTGCCCGTGCCTGTTGTTATTACATACTTACTCCATGGATAAACAGCAGACAGGTGTGCTTTCCTGGCTCTTACCATAGGCTGAATGGCCTCAGCTACCCTACTCCTTCAGATTCTGTCACAAGTAAAATGCCACCTTGGTCAAATCCTGAATGCCCATGCTACTCGTTATTCTCTTTTTCCTGTCAGTTATCATCACGTATCTAAAATAATCATAGTTGCTGGCCTCTTGCTCCATGTTTCTTGTCTGCCTTTGTGAGGTTGGGCTTTCATGCTATCCGGGCTGCTCTGGAAGAAACTCAGGGTCTGGAGGAAGCAATAGTCAACCAAAATGTAATGGTAGAGTTTTTGTTCATTTCCATTGTATTTATTTGAATGATTTCCTTTCTATAGGAGCAGGTATATTTAGTGTGGTAGGATAGTCACCAGAGCAGATGCTCAGGCATGGGTTAAGCCAGTAGAAAGTCTTTATTAACCAACCAGTGACTACATAGAGTGTTCAGGATCCCAGTGCAACCCTAGCCCTTCTCAAAGTGAGGTTTTAAACACACACACACACACACACACACACACCAAAAACCATGTTCTGGGTTGACATACTTCACTTAACGAAGAACAGTTGGGGAGAAACAGAACTACAGAAGCCATAAGGGAAGATTAGTTCATTTAGAGACTTTCCTAGAACTATGGACTTTGATGGATCAGACCTTTGTTTTACTTTTAGCAGGTGGTGCTGTCTTCCTGCTGAGCCTTATAGCCTGAATGGCACTTCCATCATGGAGTGGGGCCTACTAAGGTCTGGGGCCCTGTTACATGTAGACTTCTTTTTATAGTAGTGACTTATGCTTTCTTTTAAATTAGGCAAAAGGGGAAAAGCTGTTGCTAAAAGCACAGATAGTATTCAGACAGAAAGAAATCAGGACATTTATGCTGGAACAGCTGAAATCTGATATGCACCTGGCCTGAAGAACAGAGTTTGATCTTTCCTAATAGGTCATGCAAAGCTCAGCCTGATCCCACCTTGCCTCTCTCTTGGTCCCAAGATGCACCACTCTTCACCTGCAGCTGCTTCCTCCCTGTCACCTTCTCTTACAACCTAGGGTGCACCTGCTGATCCCTTTTTGAGGCTATTTACTGTAGTCAGGACTCCTGCCAAAGCTGGCTCTCAGGCTTCCTCTCTGGCCCAGAAGCAGGGCTTCCTCAGTAGCAACCACAGCACTGTGCACCACTCTGGACCAATTCTACACCCAGGAGAATATTGTGCCAGTTATTAGAGTCATGGGGGAAAGGGTCGTCTTGTGATGTCTCACATAACTCTGTACTATTTTCCATGGGGAAAAAGGTTTAGCTTCCATTTTCAAGTTTGAAGTTTTAAAAATCATCCTGTTTATGAGTCTCAGTAGCTAATATGAAATTATTTTCTTTTACCTGGAGACATGTCAACCTGCTGCCTAGACGAAGGGTGAGAATAAAAAGATGACACACAAGGGGAACACAACAGTGGTGGGGAAAGATGGCTTTTATGCCTTTCCCTCATAGTGGCTTAAGGGTCAGCACCCATTACATAAGCTGAATGGCTTCATTAGAGAATTCATAATAAATAGAGTCCTTCAAATATTTTAAAACATTAAAAAAGTTTCAGCATATAGGCTTTAGAGGCACAGCTCCCAGACCACTGCTGACATGTGTATATGCCCTGGGAACAGCATTCCAGCGTCATGGGTCGTTCTATAGGGCATTTGATTCACCAGAGTGATCCCAGACTGAAACAAGTCAGGCCAACACTAACAGCATTAGCATGTGTTCACTCATTCACTCAGCTAACATATTCCGAAGTTTACACGTCATGATTTAAGAAGTAGCAGCAGCCCAGGTGTTGGTGTACACTTGTAATCCAAGCACTTGGGAAGTGTTTGCAGGAGGATGAGTTCAAGGCCACCCTTAGCTCCACAGTGAATTAGAAGCCACGCTAAAGTACGTGAGGTCCTTCCCCCACCCCCAAAGAAAGCAAAACAAAAAGCAAAGTAAAAACCCAAACCCGCAATGCAATGCACGTGTTCTCTTGTCTTAGATGTGAAAGGAACACCCTAGGAGCTATTGATGAAGGGAATGGAGAGAGTTCAGTATTAATGTCTTCTTCAAACGTATTTTGCGTGGCCAAACCAGGAGAGAGGAAGGTCTGTGGGGGCTGGGGAAGTGATTTCACATTTTTGATAACAGAAAGTCCTGTTACCACTGCAAACACCCAGCGTTTGAGTTAAAAAGCAGGTGAAGTCAAATTGCTAACATGTCAGCTCTTCCTCTCTCTGAGCCAAACTTTCCCCATCAATCCTGGTAGGTCACCAGGGAAAAGCAGCAGAGAAGGAAACGCTGGCTTTGGCGGCAGAGTGTCGCCCAATTAATGTCGTTCTGGGAGTCACCTGAAGCCTTCCAGCTACTGCACCCAAGGAGCAAGCTTTGCTTTTCAATTCGGTCATTTCCATGGGGAATTGCGGTACGCGCAGGTCTTGGGTGTGGCGATGTCGAGACGGAGCTCACATCTCCAGGCTTTCCACCTTCTGGCCAACCCACCCAGCTGAGAAAACTACGGATGAAACGGACCTGCCTTCCTGAAACTCAGGGATCTCGAAGGACCGAGACCAGGCGGCCACTGCCCAGCGCCAAAGCCAGGCTGCGCGCTCCGCGCGTGTAAGCTTCTCCCCAACCCGCTCTGTGCGGGGAGGCGGATCCCCTTTCCTGCGCACAAGTCCTTATATGCACCGGTTGCACCGGCCCGCCTTTACTCCAGCCCCACAAATAATTAATGGAGGAGGCTGGACGCTGCTGTCTTTTCCCGCTGCCTTTCCTCACCACCCTTTACACTATTAGAGCATCTGAATCCAGTCAAGAAACCCCAAGATGCGATCGAAGGGCCATTTTGGTGCATTGCACAAATTGGACACATTAAAAAATAGCCTTCGGATCTCTGTACAGCGAGGTTCAAGATCTGCTCTTCGATTCAGCACTATTAACCCGCAAAAACTGGGACGGAAAGGGTGCGCGGCCCTCCCCCACCCAGGCTAGTGCAGAGGGACCCGGTCAGGAAGCGCGGCCTCTCCCCAGTCGGAGACCACGCCTCCTCCCCCCCACTCCTCCCAGGAAGCGGTGATAGACAGTTCTGTGTGGTTCTCCACCCCCACCCCCCCAGCTGAGTGGAGGAGTTGATATGTCTCATTATAACAGCCAATGCAGCCGCCATCCACGCACAAGCAAAGAAGCATGTCCCATTTAAATACACCCACGCAGCCCCAGCGCCCTTAGCCGATCAGGGCGCGCAGCCCACACGCACCGCGGCTCCGGGCTTGGAGATCCGCGCAGGTCGGGCTCCGGGATCCCGCGGA